GCTATCAATAACAAGATTAAATTCCTGTACCCTTGATATTTGGCATGTCTGCCAAGGAAGAGCAAAATTATTAGCAATAAGATCTTTGTTATGTAATGTGGAGAGATTTAAGTCACCATTGACAGTTCAGTGAGGAGAACTACCAATAAAAATCATAGCACACATTCCTTAGTTTGCTCACATCTGTACTTTGATAAAGCATACACTGAGAAGTAGACATACTTGTCTGGTTTAATCATTTTATGGTTTTGGGGTAGAGAAAGTGTGAAAAGTTAAGTCCACTGTGTGATTCAGAAGAAAGAACTGTAAAGGTTTCATGTCCCAATCCTTTGGTTCTGTGCAACTCTGCAGTGCTGAAGTGAGCCCACAATTTACAGTGGGAACTTCAGATGTAGAGGACAAGATGAGATTGACCTCAAACTAAAATCCCCACACCCCACACAGACAAACAAATCTCAGAACTGACTGCTGCCATGTACTGAAATACCCCAAACACAGGCACCCTCACAGATCACTTTGCTTTTACCCAACTTTGGGAGTAAAAGCTGCTTGGCAGTGTGGGAAAAGTCACCACAGTCCTCACAAAGAATTTGTTGGGAGTTGCACTGAATATTGAATGATCTGAGATGGGTTGCATTTGGAACAATTAAGGAAACCTTTTATGTTTTCTCTGAACTTAATACACATTCAACAGCAACTGCAAAGGCATGCTTATTCACTCAAGAAAAATATTTTAAATCATAATAAATTTTGGCTAAACTAAACCACTTTTAAGACATTGATGTAAAATGCTTTTGCAGGATTTTCATTTGAGACAAAAATACATTCTCACTTAAATTATTTTCATATTTGGTTAGATCACCTTCTATTGAATAGAAAATTGCATTTACTTTCCTGTATGTTGTGTTGATTATATTTTGCCCCATTTTTCTGTGTAATCATACTCAATTTCTATTTGAAGAAGCCAGAAAACCTGGCCACAAAACCAACAATTTTTTCCACAGTCATAATATCATTCTCTTTTAGAAAAGCTTATGAAACCTGTTTCTTTTAGCTTTTTCTCACAGGAAATGCTTACAAAACATTGTTTTGTAAGATTATTTTTTGTTTCTTTTTTTCTGGAGACTCTTCAACTTGTCTATATCTGAAATTGCAGTACCCAAAACTCGCGTTAGATGAAGCATCAGCAATTTCAAATCAGAACAATTATGTCCTTTGTCTTTCATGCAATATTTCTCACTATAAGCCGCAGAGTCACATTTGTCGCTTTTTGAAGTAGCTTCACATTGTCAACTCGCTCAGTTTGTTTTTCCCCATGAGCCTAAGTTTGTGTCCCAAACCCTGCTGCAGCCAGCACAAGTACAGGGTGGATTATGCATTCTTCACCTTTTATTTTCTGATATGGGGGAAAGAGGCCACTGACTTTCACACACAATCCATGGAGTCAGACACACACCTCAGCAAAATTCAAACTAGCTCTGTTACTGGCCAAGGAGATTGCTGGAATCAACCCACTCAAACACCCCTGTAGAGACAGCCCCAGGAAATACTGGGACCAGCACCATACTTTACATTACCCCTCTTTCCTTCAGACTAAAAGGGCACCAGCCACCTGGAATACTGGTGAAATCTGAGGTATTGATGATTCTGAGATTGTA